TTTTAATAATTTTTTAATATTTCATTTGTTATATTTTTTACTGAATATGTGTTACAAAAGAGAACTAAAATTGTTTAAATACTCATGCCATTGTATTTACGACATCCTATTTCAATCAGATCCCTGCTCTTCAATGCACTCCTCACTGTAACTCATACGCGCCGTTGACCGCTATTAGCGTAGACTCAGGTTTGTCTCTCAACTTCAACTTTGTTCTTCTCGACTCGTATGTATGTATGTGCTGATCAACTTTCGTCTATTTTGCTGTCTGCGACTCAGCGTTTAATCCGCTTAAATTCGGCGCGTACACACGAAACTTGTGGGAAAAAGGAAATCAGCCACAAAAAAGTGTAAATTCCAATTAGCGCCGGCTGGTTAATATGAGTCTATATGCAACGGTAGTCATAAGCTTGAGCATGCTTCAGCCGAAATCTGTGTAGATTTGCTTTAAGAAAGGAAATGCAGTGGTTTCGTTTTGTAAAGTGTAGTTTTGATGGACGGAAGGACTTGATTCTACGACTGTAACATTTTTATATAAATAATATATTTATCATTTTCAACTTTTAATTTACCTTTGGAACTAGTACCCAAGTTACTTAGAAAGCATTCCTGATAACCTTTATTGATGTTTTTGGAGTTATTTTCTTTATTGTTATAGTGACTGTTAAATACCAAACTAGTTCAGAGTAGTTACTTTGAGTCCAGTTTGTCAAATAATGGTAATAATTGTTTTAGGAATTTTTTCCGTTATTTAAAGCAACTATTGTGTTTGAAACTAGACCAAAACTAGTTACTTAGAGAACAGTTAGAACTCAAAACTCCTTTATAGGTTGAAAACGGTAAAAATCCCTACCGAGATCCCAAAATAACTGCTTTTTACTACTTACAAACCTAGGTACATATACATATCGTGCTTCTGAAGTTTTGTACGTTTTTTTTTATATAAGTGTGTAAACCAGTTTCCAATTAGTTATATTCAGTGCAGTTTTTCCAAATATAATTAATAACTGTTTTAGGAGCTTTGTTCGTTCTTGAAAGCAATTATTGCTATTTTAATTCTATTTGGATCTAGTTCAAAAGAGTTAGTTACTTAGAGACCAGTTGGAACTCAAAACTTTTTATTAGGTTATATTTTATTTTCCTTAACCAGAATAAAGTTACTGAAAACGGCCTTTGCCGTTCACGAGTAGTTACGTTGAGTCCAGTTGATAATTTTAATAACAACTGTTTTTGGACTTTTGTTTGTTATYTAAAATATCTGGTTCGTTTCAAAGTGGTCGAAGAGTAGTTACTTAGAAAACAGTTGGAACTCAAAACTTTTTATTAGCTGAAATAGCCTTATGTTTCCGAAAACCTTAATCTTTTGAAATTATGATCGTTTTTTAATATTAATATACGAGCTAGTAACTTACAGTCCAGTTAAAAAAATTAGAACTAACTGTTATTAGATTTTTATTTGTCAGTTAAAGCATTTGTTTGCTTTGTAACTAGTCCAAATAGAATTTAGTTTTTTACTGAGTATCCGTTACTTCCATAAATATATCGATGCTTTTCGAGTTATGAACGTTTATTAATACAAGTACATGAACTACTTCACAACTAGTTATTTTGATACCAGTCAAAAACGTAAACGAAACAACGTAAAACAGATGTTTTCTTCGTTATTTAAACAACTGTATAATTTTCAACTAGTCCAAAAGTAGTTACTTTAAGTCTAGYTGGTGCTTTTTAATTTCTAACCGTAAAAATCCTTACGGAGAACTAAAACAGACATTTATTTTTCTATTTTTGTAAAAATATATTAATATATTATGGTAAATAACAGTATAGTATTGTAGTCTATAACAGTTAACTAATAATATTTTTGCATTTTAACTTTCAGTGTGGATCGCAGCAAAGGTGCGCGGCACCACAAATGCGTCAGCCAATTATGTTAAACGCCAATTTGAAGGCAGCGCGAAGAAATACACGCCACTGTTGAAGAGCGCAAAGGAATTCGCGCCACGCAAGCGGAAAAAGGCAACGCATACCAATTAAAATATCATTTAATGAAAAACCAACAGRGCGCCAGCATTTCAAGTAAACAAATGCAATGCATACGCAATAAGAGCTGACCATTCAAGTGGCGGAAAAAAGTTAATCGAGTGATTGCATCGGTCAGTAATTAGCAATGCCAYGCACAAACACATGCACAGACAGGCACATGCGCGCATCATTATGTAATATGCATATAGAATAAATGTATAAAACATGAGAAATGCGCATAAAAGCAATTTGTTTGTGGCGAATGTGAAATATTGAAATGAAAATAAAATCAAACGCTCAACTGCATATGTAAGTGTGCCAGTGTGTGTATGTACAAAAACAAAGCGGCAGTCACGTTGAAATAAATAAAAGCCATTAAAAAATTATTAACAAAGTAATTAAAAAGAGCACAGCTTGCGCGCGCGTGTGTCGGTATAATTGCGGCGGCCATTTTGCCATAATTTAATTAAATACAAATAAGGTGGTAACTCGAAATTGTTTATAAAGAGCAGCCGTAGCAGCAGCAGCTGTAGTAGAATTTTGTCAACAAACCGACGGTCCGGCGCATAGACACACACACACACAAGGGCGCGCTTGTCCAACTATGAAACTGCATCCGACCACAATGTCAACGCGCCGCCTGGGATGTGCGCGCCAAATGACATGCGCCGCAGCGCTGCTACTGTGTCGCGCGCTCGTAATTATCGCGCTCAGTGAGCGGCTGCTGGCGGTCGGCGCGGGCAGCGGCGGCGGTAGTGGCGGCAGCGGAGGCATCGGCGGCAGCATCGGCAATAATGGTGAGTAAATAAGCGATCGAGGCCAAATGGCTAGATAGCGCAAATGCAGGGATAATATTTTTATAGCTTTGCAGGCTTAAAATAAATAAATTCTTCACCGATAAGCGCCAAGTCATATGCAACAATGGCGATATGCAAGCGCTAAAGCAACGCTTAAATTAAAATGTATTGTTTGTATTTTTATGCTTTCACAGCGCTGAGATGTGACGTGCATTTTTATACAATATTTTGAATTAACTACATTTTAATTAAGCCGTTTAAGTGCATGATTTCAATGCAGTGCCAAAATGCGCGCACATAACCTCAAATTAAAATTTTTATAAATATATTTTTTATACAAAATAAGTAGCGTTTGTATGCTTACAATTCAATATTAAATTCGAAATAAAATATGCGCTCGGTTCCCGCATAAAGCGCATAAATTTCAGTATCACCAAACCTCAAGCCGCTCGTGCGCTCTGCGCCTACAAGCATTTGCATATTTTAGCGCTCAAAACCACACACACACGGTAAAAAAATACCCGCTATTATGCCATTATATGCCAAATTTTGGCCGCAAGCAAATTCAGTCTGTTAATAGGGGGCAAAACGGAGGCGTGATTAGACAACGAGATAGACCTCGTTTGCATACACACGCTCAAACACATAGACACAATTCAATTAGCTAATTTGCATTTAAGCGCCTAAAAATATACAATACAATTATGATGCAACAAAACGTTATCAACATATAAACCGTTATGGTGCGTTGTGTGGTTTTTGGAGGGCAAGCAGGAGGCGAAGTAGGCTCAAATTTCCATGGTTGACAAATATGGAAAATAAGCCCAGCAATTTTGTTGCATAAATGTTGAAAATATTATAGTAGCTAAACATTTTAAAAACTGATTTGATTTTACTAGTCAAAAACTAGTTATTTTCAGGTTAGTACTCACGATATTAGTGGTTTCGTTTGGAAGAAATTGTTTTTATTGAATCAGTGAATGAAAAGTATGTGGAACTTAAAGTATTTCAATACTTGACGTTACATTTTGAAAAATTTTTAATTCCTTTATGACCTTTGCAATTACCACAACAGCCGCTCCAGATATACCTGGATTGTACCGGATTTTATCCAACTAGAACTGTTAACTGCTTCGCGGATCTAACGCTGTTTGGATCACAGGGTCTTCTTCTAGATCCGGGCTGACATTGAGTCCAATACAGGTCTGGAGGGACTTTTATGCTGCGTATCTCATAAGAAGCTTCATCACGATAATTCAAAGTGGCAGCAAAATATATTGACGGAGCTCAACTAGGCAGCATGACTTCCAGTCTGATCAATTAACAACCGTCCACTTTCATCGTCTGCAAATTTCGGGTCAGAACGAAACTCCCGGTTCTTCGTACCGTTTGTTCTGTGAGTCATATCTTGCAGTTAGAAGCAATCCTTGCATGCCGTCGCCAAACTACACTCAAGTGCGACAACCGTCCTGCGGTTTATGTAACTGCAATGATCACCTTATTTACCGAACTCCATCACTCGCAGGATCACTACCAATTTACCGCAACAAACCCGATTTTTACAACTGAACTTCAGCTGACTATTGAGTAAGATGAATGGTTAGTTGGTTTCATGAGCCGGGAAGGCATTGATAGCCATGTTTCGTCTTGCCAAGATCGTCGTGCCAAGTTTCCACTTTTTACGTACAGATCGCGGGCGAGATTCTCGCATTTCTTCTGCACCACACAGTTCAGTTTTGTTTTATCGATTGCGATATTGAGCATGGAAATACTATACTAGAATGTCAGGGCATTGATAACCGGTACAGCCTTATCGAGCTCGAAATATTCAATATATACTTCATGTGCATTAGAGCGAGTCGATATACAGGGAATTAATTCGAAGTGGAGTTTAGGGATTTAGGGATCAAAAATATTGTTGTTCCAATCCCGAACGCCGGGACATAAATGCGTGGGTTCGTGAAGAAAACCCATTGGTACTTGACGATTTTAACTCAAATCATGATCTGTGGCGCTTCTGCCTGCTAAATGATCGTTTGAAGCTGGATCTGGCGCAAGAGATAGACGACTCGAAATTATGCACAATGAAAGACAAAGCCCCAGGTTTACTGCATCAGTTATTTTCATGTGTCTTTAAATTATTTTGGAAACTACTGTTTTAAATTACCTAAAATATCTGTAAAGTGAGAAGTGAAATAATAATTTATTCCTCTTTTACACCAAATTAACTAAACTTGTGGTTAACAACATAACTGTTTAGTTAGTAAACTCATTAGTATTAAATTGGTTTAAAATCAGGTATTTTTGATGCCATAATAAATATAGTTTCTTATTATTTTAACATCTTTCATAATTTATTTAAAATTTTTAACGCAATATAATTAAAGCACTGGTCCAAAAGTTGTTACCTTGAGCCTAGTTTCAATCCTATATCCTCCTACATCCTTAGTTCCTATCTAAAATAATGTGCTTCTATAGTAGAAACAAAAGCAACTTAAAAACAGTTGAGAGTTGTTTTTCTCGTAACTAGTTACAAACTAGTTCGTGTCTGAGCTAATATAAGTGTAATTGACTGAAACTAGTTGTTTTTGTTGCCATAAATAAATCTAGTTTCTTACGTTTTAAGAGCTTTTGCAATTTATCGTAAATTTTTTTACTCAGTAGAATGTTTAAGAAGTGTTCCAAAAGTGGTTACCTTCAAACCAGTTACAAATTAATTCCCAGCTGAACTTTTGTACAACTACAGTAGAATCTAAAGCAGCTAAAAAAAAGCTTAAACTTTTTTCTTCGTAACTAGTTACAAACTAGTTCGTATCTGAGCTAATATAAGTCTAATTGGGTTTGCAATTGCTCATGTCGCTTTGCTGCCATGCTCTATCCGCCCACTATAATTGAATTGATGGCTGCATTGTGCCTGCCAATGCTGCCAATCAGCTACGAAATATTGTCGTTGGCTGAATGCTTTGCGTTTCGCGCGCAGAAAAAATGCGGTTTTTATGGCAAAAATGTCAAAGCATTATGACATTGTTTACTGTTATTGTTGCAAATGCGCCTGACAGTATGCAAATTATAAAGACTATTATTGGCAATATTTGTGCAGCGATGTTTTTGCTGATATTTCCTCCGGAGCGCTGTTGCACGCCGTTTTGTTTGCACAGCGCGTTGCATAATGAACATAAGCGCGTGAATTTTAATGGACGACAGCCCATTAAAAATGCTAGTTTGTATTGTTATTGCAATTTTGTACTTGTTTTGTTGTGGTGTTTGTATTTTTTTAATAGTTCTCGATTTTACTACTGTTTTTTTCTGCACTGCTTTTGTTGCTGCCACGAAATATTGGCATCAATACGCAAATTGTTGTTATTGCTTTTGTTTTTGTTATTGTTGCCGCTTTGTATTTGCTGTTTATATGCAAATTACTTTGTCGCTACTTATAAGTTTCGCCCTTCCATGCTCGTTCATGCTCTCGACTCCTTACATCTTGTTGTTGAGTGCACCATGCAACACTCGTTTCGTATGTTGCAAGTGCACAAGTGGTGAGGCAATAAAACGGCAGCCGACACGATTAATAACCCGCTTTAAGGAGTTTACTGCTTGTTTTTCTCAAAGCCAGCAGCTGGTCACCAACACACACCCCAACTTATTTACAAAAAGGCTGCAGCTTTATTGCTTGTGMCACATTTCCTCTCCGCTAAGTTGTTGTGACAGTGCTCTTGACAGGGAATTTGCTTCATTAATTAGTGACAATTAAAAAGTTTATTTATACATTATGTAGGCGACAGTCTGTGCTACAGGCGCTGCTGGCGTGTGGGTGGTCTCGCTGTTGGTGTGTGGATGCAGAAGTTGCCGTCAAGGGAGCACCCTATTCACAAGTGCCTCTGCAGTGGCATTACAGCTGTGTTTGTTGCAATTACCTTAATTGTTGTTGCTAAGGTATTCGTTTTAACTTGAGTCAATTCGCTTTGCGCTGATTAAAGCACGTGATTAAATTTTAATTGTCTTTCATAGAAAAAAGCAAGCGAAAAATAAAATATTGTCGCAATTTATATACTTTCAGATGGCTACGGCTTAGGCAAAGTGCACAGTGTAGCAAAGAGGGTAGCTAAGGAAAAACCCAACAGCTTGAAGATACCTTATTCCGGGTATTATTCCATTTGTGTAAAACTTTTCTGGTTGCTCGGTGAAAAACTGCTACAAGTAATTTTCACAGGCTTCTCTTTCAGTTAACTTTACTTTATTAAGGGACTTTTGCATTGACCGAAACAAATGGTAGTCCAATAGTTTAAGGTGAGGTGCAAGACGAAGACCATTCTGTTGATCGGTTCTGGCAATCCTGACTTTGCGACCATTTGTGGAGTTTCACCACGCTTGAACCATGATCTTTTTCGCACATTATTGTCGTATTTGATCCACTTTTCGTCTCCTGTTACCATTCGCTTCAGAAATGGTTCGATTTTGATTCGGTCCATTAAATTTTTCACAAATAATTCATGTGGTACTCAAACATCGAGCTTCTATTTGTAGCCAGCCTTGTTTAAACATTTGATGATGTATGTTAAATTTCTTAGCGATGTCATGGCTGCTTATATGACAGTACATATTTTCCATAATTTCATCGATTTTTGAGACGATAGGTTAACCAAAGCGAGGTGCATCTTCCACAACGAAATTTCGAGAAATTTTTAATAAAGCTTCCAGAATAGCTTTTTTTTCTCTGTAAACTATTATGCGATAAGTTTTGTTGGGCTAAACTATCTGTTCAAAGTTGGAACCTCCCTGAACAGCTGCGCCATTCTTATATCTAAATACTTCTTAGTATTGAAAGAAAAAACTTAAATAAATCAATAAAACGCTTTGAGCCTATCCCGAACTTGTTAAGGCGACTGGCATTAATTTCGGCTCTTTCGCTAGTTTCACTGAAGACATGTCTGCGTTATCTTTTAACCTGCACCTTCCAAAAGTTGGACAATGCTGGAGATAGTGTCTGGATATTTCCAACT